CTATTCTCAACAATCCCCCTTTTGATCTCTCCAATGAGAGATCACATCACACCTCTCCTTCATCCTGGGGCATAACTGGTTTCCTAAACCTGACCAGACTTGGTGTGAATGCTTTCCTCACTTCCTGAGATAAACTCTGTTTAACTGCTTGAATAGGGTGGTGTGGAGTAGACAACCTTCACTATCTATTCCCTCAGTCTTCTTTTTCCAGCGTGGGGTGAGTCTCTGCGTTCTTCCGTCTCTTCTTTCTTCAGTCTCAGGGGTAGACTACCCTGAGACCTTGCCACAGACCAGGGGATTATTCTGCCCCTGTGGTTGAGGTCTGGGTGTTCTCTGACTCGTCTGAGTCAGGGCTCAATTCCCCCTTTGGTGCTCAAGTTGCTCCTTGCTCCTTCACCGACCTTCCTGGCTCCTCAGCTACTGCACACTGGCTCCAGTGGTACGCGGCTTTGCCTTTGCCCTTCAGTCGAACAGCATGCGATGTCCTGTCCACCAACTCGATTGGTCCTGTCCACCTCGGCTCCAACCACTTTCTTTTGATCACTTTCAGACGTACCCACCAAGCGTCCGACAGTGTGCTTCTTGCAGCAAGCTGTGCTCTCTCTCTCTTGCTCGCTCTTGAAGCCTTCTCTCCAGTTCTCAGTCTGCATCTTATGGGTGATCTCCTTCAGTCAGTTTGGTTACTGAACCTGTAATTAAAAATTAAAACTACCCCGGCAAACCCCTTTTGCCACATGGTCCTTGCCATGTGTCAATTCAAAACAATTAGAGATGCACAATAAAGTTGCCCATTCTCTCTTAAAAATTCCAGGGCTTCTCCCATAGAGTAGCTCTGCTCCAGGCCTGTAAACCTGTGTTTAAAAAATTGGCCAGTGGTGTTTCCTGTGGCAAATCATGTGATTAAATCATATGATTAACCCTCTGCTGTAGAAAAAGTGGTGTAGATGTTAGCCCAGTGGATCTTGTATGCACACTTTCTCACAGTGACCTCTGCACTGTAAATAATACAAGGTCATGAATAACACACCGCTGTTAAATTCACAGACACAGAAAGTGGCAATTAAAAGGTTAAGTCAGCACAGCCCAAAAGCCCATGCAACCTGCTGCTGTCATCTTTCTGCTCCTGTAAAAAGAAACATACATACATACATCCACCCTTTTGTCTCTCTGGGTGGAGGTGCAATCTTGCATATTGGTGTCAAGTCAGTCAAGTTTTTGTCAGTCCAGTCAGTCCCCGTGTTTATTGCTGATAGCAGAACCTCTTATGTCGCATTAAGTTTCTACTGCCAGCAATATGATGACATTTCAAAAAGAACAAAAAA